CTGTCCCAGGATGAGCAAGCTGAGAGTAAATCCCTGAGAGAGGGGCTACTATGGGTTAAATTGTGTTCCCCAAAAGACACTGCAGAACTAAGCCTTGGACCCTATGAAGGTGACTTCATTTGGAAATAGAGTCTTTGCAGATATAATTAAGATATAAGTTAAAGTAAGGACAGACCGGACTAGAGTGGGCCTTGAAACTGCTGTGACTGGTGTCCTTATAACAAGAGGGGAAAAGGCACAAGCACAGACTCACAGAGAAGATGTCCTCGAAAGCTGGAGCCAGAGGCTGGCGTGATGCTTCCACAAGCCAAGGCCCACCAAGGATTGCAGCAAACGCAGAAGCTACGAGAAAGGCGTAGAAAAGAGTCTCCCCTGGGGCCTTCTGAGCAGGCAGACTTCTCACCTGGAAGACTAAACTTCTGCTGTTTCAAGCCACCCAGCTTTTGATAATACCTTAAAACAATCCTAAGGACTTAGATGTTGTCAGGGAGTTCAGAAGAGTTCCAGAACCCTGAGTTTAGCCCAACAAAAGCAGGTGTAAACAAGTGATGTAGCAGCAGGCTTTGCCTGTAGCTTGCTGTAAAGACCCTCTACCTGAGCTGGGGAGGAAGAAAGACAAGAGGGGGTGCAGGGTCCCAAAGCAGCACCTCTCCATCTGATACGGCAATCCTTCACCACACCAGGGCTCACTTGGAATTCCAGAATGTTCCACGAGAGAGGACCTGCCACAACCAAAGAAGCAGGAGAAAGAGGAGCAGAGAGAAGGAAGGGGTAGGGGAAAGGATTAGGGGAAGGATGGGAGGAGAAGTACGGCAGAGGAAACCTTTGCTCCAAATACATAAAAGGAGGGTTTAAGTTTCATTCATTCAACCAAGTTATTGAAAATCTCCTAGGTGTCATGTCTTTCTAAGCACAGAGAATACAGGTGGATGAGACATGGTCCCTCTCATTAAGCAGGTTACTATCTTAAAAAGAACACATTTAAGTCTATCTAACAAATGTTTTATAGTCTATCTGCAAATATGCATACAGTCCCAACCAAATCTTTAGTGCTAGTGTTTCCAGGGCAGACTCTAGAAGGGAAGAGGTGAACTGAGTCCTGAAAGAGCTGTGAAAGTTGGAGATTGGGAGTGGGAGGTAAAGAGATTAGACCTCTATCACAGAAAGAAAGCCAATAGCAAAGGCCGCCAAGGCAGTGGTCTGACACCCCCCCGTAAGAAACATCTCAGATCCCGTCTCTGAGCTCTGCAAAGCTTCCCACCCTGTTGAAAGAGATTGATGGTCTCTTTGAATGGTCAGACCCATTCTGGTGAAGATCCTTCCATCAAGGTCATCCCTCTGAAGTTACCAATCCACGCATTTGTTCTATAACATTTTGAACCTCTTTCTATTCCCATCATTCAATAGAAAGGAATCTCACTTTCTGGTGCTCTTATGAGGCACCTCAATGGTATTTACCAAGCTGGATTTTACCTGTTTGCAATTTCTTCCTTTTCATGCACATAGATATGGAGATCTTGGCAGTACCTTGAACTGGTTTTGATAAATGTTCCCATATAAGAGCTTTCAACATGAAAAGGCTTCAAGACTGCTCTAAAATAATATTATATCAGAAGCAAGTTGCTGTTGTCTGGATTTCTTGATATTAAATTTTGAAAGTGCCTTTTCATGGCAGAGATGACAAATTTGTACCACTCCTCCCCTCTGATTCTCCAGCCTGTCACTCAGGATGGAACTATCTCCAGCAGGATCCAGGGGAAGGTTGGAGAGTGGCCCCTTCTCTCTTTTGCAATGCATTTGGACCTTTCTGCTTTACTTGTTCAGTTAAGCATCTCTATGAATTATAATGCTTCTGTTCGACTAAACAAGTCCTTTTTAACTAGACAAGCAAGTCTAATGAAAAGGTCTAACACAACAAATCATGTCAAAAAAAAAAAAAAGTCAACACCAAAGGGACAGCAGAATTGAGGAGTTCTCCTTCCACTCATTATTTGAACTCTTGCCCAGCTAACAACCTATCCACAACATGAAGAATAAAAGTGATATTTTTGTGAGAGGATTGTAATTGAAGAAGTTTGGGTCTCTTTGGTTCTTTAACGATATTTTTGTATTAAAATGAACCATACTGTTATTGGAATACACTTATCAAGAAAATTTGGAGAATTCTCTGCTTAGCCAGCATTTACTAGGGTCTGTATTATTTTTTTGTTGTTTCTGTAACAAATCGCCACAAACTCAATGACTTAAAAAAGCACAAATTCATCTCATTATTCTGGAAGGCAAAAAGCTCAAAATCAGTGTGTCAGCAGGGCTGTGTTCCTTGTGGAGGTTTTAGGGAAAAACCTGTTTCCTTTTCCAACTTCTTGAGGCCATCAACATTCTCGGACCTGTGGCCTTTTCCTCCATCTTTAAAGCCAACAGCAAGGTATCTTCAAATCTTTCTATTATCTCTCTTTCTGTTGTCACATCTCCTTCTCTAACTCTGATCCCCTGGCCTCCCTCTTATAAGGACCTTGAAATTATGTCGGACCAACTCAAAGAATCCAGGATAATCTTCTTGTCTCAAAATCTCTACTAATCATATTATTTTAGTCAGCTTTTTCACCACTGTGACAAAAAACCTGACAAGAACAAGTGTAGAGGAAGAAAAGTTTATTGGTGCTCACAGTTTCAGAGTTGTCAGTCCACAGATGGGAACTCCATTTCTCTGCACCTAAGATGAGGCAGAACATCATGGTAGAAGGGATTGGAAGAGTAAATTAGCCCAAGACATGATCACCAGGAAGCAGAGAGAGAAATCCTAATGAGGGACAAAATATAAATCCCAAAGGTACACCCTCAATGACCTACCTCCTCCAGCAACACCTACCTGCCTAAGATTACCACCTAGTTAATCCATTCGACAGGATTAATGCACTGGTTAGGTTAAGGCTCTCATATCCCAATCATTACACCTCTAAACTTTCTTGCATTGTCTCACACATGAGTTTTGGAGGACAACTCATA